TGGATTCGTACTGCAATAATTGCCAAATGAGAAATGAACATTTAATTATTGAACATTGATTTTTGCATTTTTATTTAAAATAATTCGTTGACTTGAGTCAACGCTTTGTCAAGGTCAAGCTTTCGCCCCAAATCACACTCCAATGCTGCATCGAAGTGCCGTTCGTCCTAAGAAGCCGGCCCCGCCACTATATTAGACCTTATGTTAATCCAATTAATGGATTAACTTTATAAAAAAAATTAGATATTTAATTATTTTAAAGCTAGTATAGAATAATTTCTGAAAAGATTACTTCTGAAAAAGTTTTATCCAAACACGCCTTTAAATTAATTCACAATTGTATATATTACAATACGAAAAATAAACTACAAATTTTGATATAATACTTGATTTTGTTTTAACTTTTGTTTTTTGAAACTAAGGATATCTCTAGGCTAATTTTGAACTAGACTAATTTTTTTTTAAGTTGATAGCGTGAAATGTTAAAATCTTTATTAACAAATATGTTTTAAAAAATCGAATTTGTAATCTTACTCTTGTTAAGGTAAAAATTGTTTATCATATTGACTAACACTTTTATTTCATAATATATGTTCATGGTTATGTTTTACCTATTGTTATTTTTAATTTTATGTTAATTGGATCGAAATTGAATTAAGTAAACGTGTGCTTCAAGCATGCATGGTATGGGGCTAAGATTCAACTCCTTTTAATAAATTATGTACTGATTAAAAATCATATGAATTAACCTTTTGCAAAATGAGTATCACGGTCTTCGCTTATTATATTTTCTTCACAAAACATATAATTGTACAAGATGCATTCAAGCAATAAGATGTGCACGGTTAGGTTACTTTGATAATTAATTATGCTTTACTTATTATTTCTATGGGCGCATAGAGGCAACAATTAACTATTTTTTTAAGTCTCTATATTGCAGCACTTGTACATCATCACACGTAAAAACATATATAAAATTGCTATGGAAAAACTATTTAGATTGGTTTTTATCTCAGTTTCTTGCCAACCCAAACCACCGTTTAATTTTTATTTATATTTTTTAGTTACAAAAAATTTAATGAAAGAAGGCTTTTCAGTTCAAAGTCAAAAAAAAATCACAAACGTCAGTAAAAGTTTGCAGTTAATTTACAAATTATCTGTCAACAAGGACGGTTAAGTGGACTCAACATCTCATCCTAAAAACAATATTGCCTAAATTCTAATTAATTTAACTAACCCGGTGGCACCCAAATAACCATTTGGTCTTTTTCTTGCAAGAATACACAAAAATAAACTCAGTATTAAATGCCAACCCTCCCTTTTTTCCTGCAGTTGGCCACCAAGAACACCTAGGGACGTACAGTACAGAGAAAGCTGTCCAATCAAGCTCTCGATTACATGCGATAGAACATTCAAATGGTCGGTCTGTGTTCTGCTGAATGGTTCAACCCGCTAGCCCTGAAAAACGTTGGTTCCTACAAAGTGTGCTAGTTCAAATTTGGGTGGTTGTGGCAAGTGAGAAGCGGTTCAAAGAATTTGAACAAAACTCGGGCAGCATTAATTATATATTCGTGGTTGACGGACCAATTTGCCGTGAAACTCGGATGGAGAATTTTTCTTTTAAAAAAAATAACTATTCGTTAAAATATATATAAATTTGTAATTAGTGTAATAAATCTCATGTTAAATAAAAATAATTGATGAATGTTGAATTATAAATGAGAGTACTATACACTCTAATAAATACATCTTTTGAGACATAATAATGATCGAACGACAAGTTTTATCAAAATTGATTGAAAGAAATTAGTCGGGCCCGTGCGAAACGTATTCGGGGGAGGTAAATAAGAGAGTGAGATGCCATGAACTTCACATTGACGGGGACATTAAAGATAAGAGTAAAGCAATATACCACTAACTGCACGCCAAATAAGATAAATTATGAAAATTAGATTAATGATTTGTGACATTAACCCAAATGACATGATTGTAGATGATTCCAGCATGTTTCCTGCTCTCTAGTTTTGGATAAGAGTGTTCATTATCCTTTTGAAATTTCAAGAAGATTCATTTTTCTCTAAATAATTGAAGCATTGGTCCTTATGCTTGATACAGATGGAATGTATATCAACCTTTAAAGAAATAAAAAGAATAAATAAATAAATTTAACAGAACCCCTTGAAAAGAAAAGTCTTTAATCGTGCATCACAGTTTGAAAATAGGTTAATTTTCATCTAACTATTTGAAAAAATCAGTTTTGTGATAGGAAGACATCGAATCTATCCCTTAGACGAAAGGCATAAATCTATGGGAAGCCATTTGAATATGGCAGCGATACTGTCCCATCTACTCGCATTATTGTGGGTGGTGGGCACCATTAAAATTTTCTTTTTCTTCTCGATATTTACCAAAAAAAAAAAAGGAAAAAAAAAACTTTACATACTTGGAAAGAAATGGAACTTATTAAAACAATAGGTAAAAAATTTTATTTTCCAACAATAATCCAAGAGACAACTCATCAGATTAAAAATTAAGATAGATTTTTAACTCGAATTTTTGATATAATGAAATTAAGTATGCATCTAATTGTCACTCTTTAATAACATTAATTATCATATTTTATTTCTTTTAAATTTCTTCCTCGTCCTAGAAAAACATAGAATAATGGTAAATGTTAGTGAAACTTCTTGACAATATTCTAGGATAGAAGTTAGAACTCGTCAAATTGGAAAATTAAGGCAGGCTTTAACGCCTTGTTTTGCGGCTGTTTACAGGCTTCCCAACATTTTTTTATCAATTATCTTGAAGGTCTGTTTGGTTTTGGGAAATGTTTTTCATTTTTATTTCTTGTTTTCATTTTTTAAAATAATTTTGATTCTTATGCTTTCAAGTTTTAGAAAACATGTTTAATTTGATTTTAGTATCTCTTATTTTCAAAAGTAGTTTCAAATTTTCACTATATGTTTTCAATTTCTAAATTTTTTTAAAAACACCGACAATACTTTTTTTGTAATTTTTAATTTTCAGTTTATTTTTCAGAAAATATCTTCAATGAAAATAGGAAACATGCAAACTAAACATATTTTTAATTTTTATTAAAAATAAAAACAGACAAATCAAACAAGCCTTTCTAGAAGAAGATAAACACTAAAAGAAATCCAAACAACTCGTCCCAACTAACACGCCTTGCATTGACTCAACAGTCTCATATGAAGGGTGTTAACCGTTGGATTGGATACTTAAATTTAAACTAAATATATTTTATAATATATAATTTTAAAAATTTAAATTAAATTATAGTTAATGATTTGGTCTACTTTTAAATCATGATTTCTAATTTATAAAAATATGATGGATTAAATCTATCACCTTTATAAAAATTTTGATAGAACTTTCTCTACAAATTAGATATCTAACTTGTTCAATTTAATAAATTTATCATTTATTAACTAATTACAATAGTTACATATTATATATAAACATATTTATACAATATAATAAAGTATGGATTCTAATGAAAATTACTCTCTAAAAAAAATTAATAGTTTATCCAAATAAGTATAATTATATAAGAGAATATAAAGAAAAAATATATACAATAAAATACTAAAGATGAACCATACATATAAAAATATAATTTTTAATTATATATACATATAAAATTTGATTTAATTTTATATTTTATTTAAATATTAAATATCAAATTAAACTGTATCAAAAAATTTTTATATAAATTGAATTAAAATAAATCAAATTATAATTCGGTATATACAATTTGTTTAGACACGCCAGTCAGATATTAGCATTTACCCTTCTGTGGTTAGTTACATGCAATTTAGATTTCTACGCCAGCAGCATCAAGCACTACGTGGAACCGGTATTTTCGCTAGTCCATATTCAATGGTTTTTGTAAATAGCCTTTTCGGTTGTTCATAAGTGGTTTGCGGCTTTCAGGAGTTCATAACTGGATTGCGGCTGGTTTGTCGCCGGTTCATTCAATATATAAAATTAAAAAAGAAAAACTAGCAATAATTTAGACTCGGACCAAGTCAAGTCAATGCGGTTACAATTGCCATATAAGTCCTGCCCCCCTCCACAGCCTAATGCATGGCAGTGGCAGTAATAGGAACTCCCCAACCCCTAAGCCATGCACCCACCACCACCACCACCTTCTTCAACTCCTCTGCACTTTGTCCTCATCCCGCTGCTCGCGCAGGGCCACATGATTCCCATGATCGACATGGCCAAGCTCTTTGCCTCACGTGGTGTCACCGTTACCCTTGTCACCACCCCCCACAACGCCACCCGGTTCTCCCCGACCCTCACCAGGTCCACCCAGTCGGGCCTTCACATCCGCCTGCTCCAGCTCCCCTTCCACGGGCCAGAATTCGGACTCCCACCTGCCTGCGAAAACCTCGACAGTGTTCCCTCCAGGGACCTCATCAGACAATTTTACCGTGCCCTTAACAGGCTACAAGAACCATTGGAACAGTTATTGGCACAAAATTATCCTCCTCCGAGCTGCATAATCTCGGACAAGTGCCTGTACTGGACCTCTAAAACAGCCAAAAAGTTCGGGTGCCCACGGATCGTGTTCCACGGCATGGGCTGCTTCTCTCTGTTGGGTTCCCACAACGTGAAGCTCTATAATGCCCACTTGTCGGTGGAATCGGACTCGGATCCTTTTTTAGTTCCTGGGATGCCTACCCGGGTGGAGATGACTCGGGCCCAGCTTCGGGTTCTTTTGTTTCTCTACCCGATTAGATGACATTAGAGACCAGATGAGAGAAGCAGAGTCCTCTGCTTTTGGGGTTGTGGTGAATAGCTTCACTGAATTAGAAGGTGGCTGTGCTGAAGAGTATGAAAAAGCTATAAAGAAAAAAGTGTGGTGTGTTGGACCCGTTTCGCTCTGTAATCGAGCTGTTTCAGACAAGTTTGAAAGAGGGAACAGGGCCTCAATTGACGAGAAAACTTGCTTAAATTGGCTAGATTCAATGCAGCCAAACTCAGTCCTCTACGCCTGTCTTGGAAGCCAATGCAGGTTGGTCCCTTCACAATTGATAGAACTCGGGTTGGGTCTAGAAGCCTCAAACCACCCATTTATCTGGGTGATAAAAATAGGGGAGAGATTTGAAGAGTTGGAGAAGTGGTTTGTTGAAGAAAAGTTCGAAGAGAGGATCAAGGGTAGGGGACTTTTAATTAAGGGCTGGGCTCCACAGCTCTTAATTCTCTCTCACCCAGCAACTAAAGCATTTTTAACACATTGTGGCTGGAACTCGACCATTGAAGGGGTGTGCTCCGGGGTGCCACTAGTAACGTGGCCCATGTTCGCAGAGCAGTTCTTTAATGAAAAACTGGTTGTTGAAATTTTGCGGGTCGGGGTCCGGGTGGGGGTGGACGTGCCGTGAGGTGGGGCAAGAGGAGAAAGTCGGAGTTCTAGTGAAGAAAGAGGAGGTAAAGAGAGCCGTGGAGGAAGTGATGGAGGGAGGAGAAGAAGGGAAGGAAAGACGAAAAAGGGCAAAAGAGATTGCCGACATGGCAAGGAGGGCCATTAAGGATGGAGGGTCTGCCCACGAAAGCATCTCACTCTTGATCCAGGACATAATCGATGTAATAAGCACTCTTAGAGAAAAGCCAAAGGAGCTGCTTACAAGCACTTGAGAAGGAGTCAGTTTGTAATTGTACTAGTTAATCTGTGGTAAAGTAAGATGTTAAACTTTGGCCTAACGAACAACCATAAATAAATAGTATCCTGTATAAAATCAAGAGAGGGGTTCTTGTTCTTGACTGTTTTTGAGTTTTTGGCATTTTTGTTATGAAAATTTTTATATTTTCGAAAGCCGTATACGTGACGGATACGCGTGTCCGTCATTTCTTTACGTATATATAGGCTTCTTGTCGTCTCAAGGCCTTGTTAGACTCGTCGAAAGTGCTTGAAAGTCGAATCAGAATAGAACCCAATATTGGACAAATGGACAGGCGTGAGGCAGCAGATTTGACAACATTAGAATCTTTAGCGGCTTGAATTGGTCTGCGGTCGGCATTTCATTTGAGGATAATATTAAATAAACCGGTAGATAATAAGGAATATACACAAATGGTAAAGATTTGTTTAATCTTAGAGTACTAGACAAGGGAAGCGTGATTGTCAGTTGATTAAATTTCACTTACAATTTGATCTAAATTAAAAGATTTAAATTTAATTAAAATATTTAATAAATTAGATCTAATTGTAAAATATTTATAATTTAAAATAATTAGATTAAAAATTAAATTAATAATTTGATCTATTAAAATTTAAATTTAAATTTAAATTTAAATTTTAATAATATTTTTTAGGATAAAAAACAATTTCTTCCTCCTTCGACTTTGTTTAAATAACACTTAATCCCATTTTTATTAGGAAAAAAATAATTTTTCTATTTGGCTAACTATTAACTAATGGTTAATTAACGATTTTGTTAGAAAAGATGTGAGAGTAACCCAACTTTATATATTTTAATTATTTATCTAATTAAAAATTAAAATATTATTTAATTCACTTAAAATTTATTTTTATTTAAAAAATAAAAATCTCATTTTAGTTATTTAATTTCATTATTTTTTAAGTTTTAAATAATTTTTATTTATTTATTTATCTTACACAATCATTTTTGAAATTAAACGACACTCAACCATTCTTATTTTAACATTTAAATAAAACTTACACAATCATTTTTTGAAATTAAACGACACTCAACCATTCTTATTTTAACATTTAAATAAAACTAAAAATAAAATAAAAATTATTTAAAACTTAAAAAAATTAAATTATTAAAAGTTAGGTTTTTTATTTTTAAATTAAAAATAATAAATTTACAAAATAATATATTAAATGAATCAATTAATTTTTTAATTTTTAATTAGATGAGTAACCAAAATATATAAATTGGGTTATTCTAATATGTTTTTTACCAAACATTTAAACAACCATTAATTAACAGTTAGTAAAAGGAAAAAAAAATTTTTTTTATGAAAATGAGGTTAAGTGTAAACTTGGAGCGATGAGAGTGTTTTATACCCTATATTTTTATTAAATTAATAATATTATATATATAGGTATAATATTAACAAATTCTAAATTGTGGAGATTAAATTGAGAAAATTAAAAAATTAAAGCACAATTATGACTAATAAAATAAGGTTAAGGAACTTAAGTACAAAATGGTATTTTTTTTATTAAATCAGATTTTCTTATCAGATTTTGAATTATCTATTGAATTTAGACATGATTTAAAAAATATAAATTCTATAAAATTTTGAATTACATTTAGATATAAAAATGATTAATCGGATTCAAATTTGAATTTAATTAATTTGATTTAAATCCAAACCCATTTCCAGTTTTGATGCTAAGTAGGATTAAATAGGTTAAACAAAAATAAAAAGAACCGGACTTTTTGGTTTAGGTTGGCCTTTTTTTTTTAATTAAATTGGTTCAGTTTTGAAATTTTTTTAGAACCAATTCACATTGGTTGAATTCCAAATTTTCTCCAACATTAAGTCAAACCAAAACGTAAATATAGATAAAAAGAAAATTCATGTGAAATCATTGATTCAATAATACAACTAAGTTGTTACTTGTAAGAAAATGTCAATATTAATTAATCAGTTTCAAAATATATAAACGAAAAGCTTCTAAAAGTCATACTTTCCTGAAATCAATCCACCTTTTAATTATACTCGACATACGAAACAATTGTCACCGACCGCTATCATGGGACGGAGATATCAATGCTGGTGGAGAGTTGAGTTCATTTAAAGTCAAACAAAACGGCATACGAGACTTTGGACTTGTAACGTCGTGATATGTGCCAATTGACTTGACTTTTGACAAATTCTAAAATTAGATTTCACTCAGAATGGCAAGCGCTTGAGATGCTGCACTTAATCAACATCTTAACATTAATGTTTGAAAAATCATATGGTTCATTGAATCAGAAATTTTTTTTAAAATATATATATGTTTAAAATTATTAATTGTCAGCATAACCTCAATTAACGTTTATGATTGAACTTTGACTTAATTAAACAGAGTGATAAAAAAATTAAGGCTATAATACCCCGGTTTAAGGGCTTAATTAAAGAGGTTCTGGGGCTTAAATTAAAACAAAAAATCAAGAACTGGAGGTTGTTGCGAATCAAGAAAGACATTGGGGACCAGAATGAATTAGGAAGAAGTCTTGAGGGACCAAGTGCAAGCCGTCCATGGTTATCTTCTTCATCCAAGGCTTAGCAAGCCGTATCTTCTGTCAGATCAAACAACTCTGGCTTCAAACGAGGATTGTGCATAATCGCGCAGCTGCTTTTTTTGCGATTTTGAAGGCGTATTTGCTTTCAGCGTGAACAAGCGAGACACATTGAACCCAATCAGCGGCTACAACCTGGACGTCCGGCACTCCCCACTCTACCCAGGACACAATCTGACTATCGGGGAACCTCATTGGGCTGAATAAAGTCCTCAACCAACGGCCAATTCATGCAATTGCAAAAGCCCTCTTTCATCTTGTCCTCCCTGCTGATGCCAGCAAGCTTCGATTTGCCGGTGTTTTGCTCAGACGATCGCAGAAGGCCGTCAGCAATCACAGAGTAAGACGATCGGTGGCATTGGGCACACTGTGCAAATACGATTAGCGCTCAACAGTAGGAAGAAGAATAACGGAGAAGTCGATACTCTATCTGCAAACAGAAGGAGACAAGTCGATGCTTTGCTGCAGAAGAAAGAAAAAGTCGAGCCCTAATTTCAGCTGAAATTTGGCAGGACATAAAAAAAAAAAAAAAAAAAAAAAAAAAAAAAAAAAAAAAAAAAAAAAAGCACTATCAGACGGCCCAGTTTCACTTCACCGGTCTTAATGACTGGTCGCCAAGTTCGAATAATTTTCACAGAACAGGCCCGTGTTTTCAATTTCACTGATTTTTATCAAAAACTAGACCAATAATATATGACTAATCCCTGTTAAACTAGTCAAATCACTGAATTTAATCTGATTTTTAAAACTCTGACTAACACAAACAGTAGTAGTATATGTTTGACAACCAGGGTTTGACAGGAATAGTGAAATTTAGGGGCTGTTTGGTTAGTCTGCTTTCTGTTTTCATTTTTAATAAAAATAGAAAATGAAGTTGAAAACATGTTTGGTATGCATTTTTATTTTCATATTTAGATAAGGTTTCCTAAATTTGAGTGGAAAATAGAAAAGAGGAAAAAGTGGTTTTTCTGCGTTTTCAACCTTAAGACTGAAAACGAGGTGGCAGTTTTGTAATAAAAATCGTTTTTAATATTTATCTGGTAATATTTATTTTCCTGCTACTGTTGAGGCTACCCTTCTTCCCGACGAACAGAGGCAAGAACATGGCTTCCTCTTTTGCCCCCTTAAACATGCTGTTCCAATCTGGAAATCTGAACAAGGGCAAGTCCCGACTCTGTCGCTATACGATTTTCTTCCCTCTACTCATTGGCCAACCGCACAGCCAAATTTGCTTGGACAGTAAGTCGATTTCGACTGCGAGTGTCAGCAAGTCTAGTGGCAAACAGTGTTGTCCTCTGTCTTCTTCCTCACGTTGTATTTGCCCTCACGTCATCTTTTTCCTCCGCGATTTTTAGAGTTCTGCAAATGGTGGTTTACCGCGATCGGAAATTTGGGACCAAAAATTCGTTATTTGGAGTAACAATTTTTTCAAATTAACATAGGGCTTTTATTATTTGGTATACATAAAGCAAAATCGCATGAAAAATTTTTAGAAAAAAATTGAAAACATGCTCTAATTAAATTCAGGTCACGATCGGGTCTATTTGACCCAATTGCAGCCCAGATGAAGGTTGAAGATGTCACGGTACATCTTTCGCAAAATTGTAATCTGGTCCCTCATTTCTTCTCCTTTATTCACTCGAGTCCCTAAACTTTTCATATTTAGTTTTATAATCTCTAACTTCTGGTTTATTCACTTAAACCTCTATTAGAAATCCTAAAACTCTAATTTCATTCAATTAAGTCATTCTTTTTAATTTATTGAAAATAGGTTAACCAAACTTATTTTTTTATTTTCATTTTTTGAAAATAGAAAATAACAAATCAAACCAAACATATTTTCTAATTTTGAAAACTTAAAAAAGAAAACTCTTTTCCAAAAATAGAAATACAAAATGAAAAGGAAAACATATTCTTAAACCAAACAGGCCCTTAGGTTTTAAATTTTCATTTTTACTCTTTAAATTTAAAAATAAAAGACGAGATTTGAATTTTATAAAATTTGACATGATTTTATTAGATTTCTTGAAATTTTAAGAAATTTCATTAAAATTGATGAAATTTAGATTTATTTTTTTAATTTAGCCAATCTTATTATTATGTTTTATTAAACTAAAAAA